TAAATTTCTTTTTGAGACATTTTTGCAATCGTAATCAAACTTTTTCTATTAAGAAATGCTAATTCTGATGTTTTTTGAACTCAAATAATCAAATAAATCAATTACCACTATGTTTTTTTATCGGTCTTTACTAACTCTTAATTCATCCACAACAGTGAGAAAGAACGAATAATCATAGTAAATTATTATATGAACATCCAATTACTTGAAAGATAATCAACGAATAATAACAGTTAATAATAATATTACAAGCTTTTTAATGTTAAGTTAACATCAAATTCATCTATTTGTTATGATTTTGGAAAAATCAGTTATTTACGAATATGATAAATTTTTTTAGTTCAATCTTCCTATAAATACTTGATGATTTTACATCGTTCTGCAAGTGTTATATACGACATAATCTTGAAAACAAGTCCTTTTTAATAATAACAACAATGATAAATGGTCTTGAATCAAAATATTGTGTACAAAATTTAAAATGGCATCCTATAAAAAAGAAAATTATCAGTACTTTTATCGATAATGTTAAACATATCAATATACAAAATGGATTCACTAAAAATGAAAATGAATATTCAACTTGGAGTTTCGTGGGACAAATAATTTGTTTATAAAAATAGTGAAGAAGATGGAGAAAGTGATAATAACTTTATTGAATAATGATAATCTTAATATGGATACTCTTGAGATTGCAGAGGAAATTGGGGGGGGTATTGAATGATTCATATTTATAAATTATATTCAGTTTATTGATATTTAATTTTGAATCAACCTATAGGCTGATTCAAGTTCAACATAAATTCTAACTTATGATAGAACAGTCGCCAAAAAATGACGCCGATTTGCAAGATAACTTTTATACATGTACCGTTTCCCTTTTTATCGTAAATATTAATATAAAATTATTATTGATAAATAACATCAATCAAACCCAAATGATGCCACAGTTAAGAGAGAATTCTCGCCTATATCGATATGGAAAATATGAATACTAACAAATTGCAAAAAAATGAACCGTGCCACGCCACCACAATACGATGATTTGTTGTTGAACACAAACGAACTAGAAAAATCGAAAATTTACTACGGCCTTAGTTCTTAATGATGAAGGAAAAAGAGCACGTATACGAAAAGCTACAAAATTCGACACAACCCATTATGTGAAATTGCGAATGAATTAAAAACTAACTGCAGTTTGTCAATTGTTAAAATGTACTACATAACTTTCATATATTGCTGCAGAAAAACTTTTCGTGAATAAATAGGACAAAGATTGGTGGGGGATCATTTTTTGGGACGTAACGAGAAAGTAGAAAAATAAAAAAATTCGCAATTATATTTGTTAATCACAAATCGGCGGCGTTACTTTTTGTGCACATGTTTGTAAATTACATGGCGTTTTTTGGCAAGACATTGTAATAGTTTTAAGATCGGCCGGAATTGCCGCATTGTTCTTTTTAGAAATTCCAATAATTTATTGAATTCAACAATCAAACAAAACCACTAGGAAATGACGTTAGCTATTCGTCGAAAAACTATCTTTATCTCATCAGGATTACATTAATAAGGTTTTATTTTTATGCGTGCGAGATAATACATGTATATTTAAGAGACTTTCCTCAGGATCTCTTGAAGACTTAAATCTTTACAAAAATGGGATGTTGTTGCTCGAGACGTTTTTTCGAAGAGGAAAATGGAACAGTAAGATACCAACTTATCAATGGTAGACGATATCATAATCTTTCGAGCTCCGTGTACTTTCTTGCAAATGACGACGAAGAAGTTTATCGTTTAAGTAGATATCATAATGGTAAAAAAAATTTTGTTTTCATTCAAGTTTCATTTTTAAAATATTTAATGATGATATATATAAAAATTTTAGCAATAAAAGATATTTGGGTAGGATTGTTTCATTCACCTGTAGAGGAGAAGTTGAGACAAGGAGCTCGTGTTATTGATATTGGGTATGTAATTGGGCTATGTTTCTTATAAAAAGAATTTTAATGTTATCATCTCTTTAATTAGATGCGGATCTGGAATTTGGATTTTGGTAAATAGATTTTTATTCTCCTGACTAGAACATGGTGGTGAAATATGACTACTTTATATTAATCCGCAAAAAATAGGATGTGGCACGACAATATCCTAATTCAAATTTCGTAGGAATAGATATATCTCCAATTCTTCCAACAGAAGGTCTTCCTTCAAATGTAACGTTTATTCAATATAATGTGTTAGATGGATTGCCATTTGAGGATTCGTCTTTCGATTTAGTTCACCAAAAATTCATGGTCTGTGCTTTTACAGAAGTACAATGGGAAGAGAAAGTTATCCCAGAATTGATAAGGTTAACTCGACCAGATGGATGGATCGAGATCTTAGAAGCTGATGCTATACTTATATCTGATGGAACCGTTACAAGGAGGATTGCAAAAGCTTGTAAGTAAAGCAATACTTTAAACCATTGATCAAATAATATATTTTATATAATTTTTATTCTTAGTTCATGATTTTCTGGTATCGAAGGGAATAAACCCTTCAATTGGAAAAGAAATTCCGCGTATTTTTGAAAATTCAAATATGTTTTCGGAAATTAAACATCGACAAAAAACTATAAAGCTTGGTAAAAGGCATGGTGAATCTGGGGAAGAGGTAAATATGTGCATAACAAATTTATCCACATAATATTATATGCTTTCTCTAATATAAATACTTCCGTCTATTCGAAGACTTTAAGGTTTTGTATTAGTGGTCTCAGCTCTGCTAGAGGTACTTTATCAACCTCGATGAATCTAATGCCCGAGCATTATGATGCACTTATAGAGACAATGATTATTGAGACAGAAAAATGTTCTACTGATTTTATTCAACACCGAATTTGTGCTCATAAGAGGATTTAAGATTAATAATTTGTGGCTTAAACCTTTGTTTTCCCAAATTGGGAAAATAGATTATAGTCAAAGCTCAGTATAAAAACATTCTTTATAATAAATTTTTTTGTTGGTTAAGGCCACAGGATCGCATAACCTGTCACAAAATTAGGCGTTCATAAACGAGAACTTTTTAAAGCGTATGTACAAGTTCAGGACAGCTACTGTATATGTAAAATTGTATCCGACATTTTCAATTAGCATTGCAAGGCAGATTTAGACATTGGTTTTCTTGTAATATTCATTTTTTGTCCAATTTGTTTTGCGTACTCTTATTTGTTTTATATGGATTACATGATTAAACGAGTAATTGAGTTGAGCAATGAAAGGCAACGATATGTACAGTACCCACAGAAAGTATCGCCCGATTTGAAATTATTTAGCAAAATATATATAAAATTTTTTCATGATTTTATAATTAAAACAGTCTTGCATCTTAAGTCGTCCACAGATAGGAATCAGTTTTGAAAACCACAATTGATTAACTTAAAATAATATAAAAGTTAGAAGTACAGTAGTCATCAGAAGTAGCCTACTCATGTGTAATTTATTAAAATATATAATCGATCACTTTATGACACACATCTTGATGTTTAGTGATCCCAATTCTCGACATCCAGTAATTAGTTTCGAATAAAAATATCATCATTCGAACTAATCACTGATGTTGAGATATTCCCTTCTAAAGTAACTGATTCATTTTTTGGCGAACAATTTCTAAAATGAATCATCCGCGAATATACTACCATTTGATTGATAAGAAAATTTGAATGGCAGTATATTAGCTTGAATTGGATCACTGAATATTAATATCAAGCTATTTCATTATAAAGTGTAGATATTTGATGAACAAACAATGCCCGATATCGATAGCCTATAAAGACATAACGATAGAGGATCAGTATTTATTATGTTCTTTGTGTTTGTAAAATTTAGTACATTACACATGAACTATGGAAAGTTATGGGGGGTAGGCTACTTCTGTCGAGTACTGTAATTACTCGAAAAAACATGAATATGTATATAGCTTGAAATTTTCCATTTTTTATATGTTTTCCTATAAAATTTTGAACCGGGCGATACTTTAGTGGGTGCTGTACATTGTATATATGATAGCATACAATCATTAAATTAATAACTTATTTTAAAAAAATGAAATTAAATGTCACAAAGATTCATAATTGTAATAATGTGTTCGTTATCAATATTTTAAGTACTGCAATTCGTGTACAGACCATTATATACATAAATGTCAAAAAAAAACAAACGCTGCAAGAGATGTTTGGAATATCAAGAGCGTATTTATAAGCTGAACGGCCCAGATATTGATCATCTAATAAAAGAATACAACAGTTCTTTCAAATTAAACCCTTTTTGAAAGAGTGACCGAAACTGAATATCTCGCAAAAGTTAGTTTAGAAAATTTATAAAGCAACTTGTTGTACGTATCAATAAAGTGGGATCATGAAGAAATAATTTAAGGGATGGTATGAACGAGAAGTTATGTTAAAATCTTTACACAAGTCAAGTCAAATCGAAGTTTGTAAATGAGTAAAGACAAAATAACCCTGAATGTAAACAAAACCTTTGTTTCCTAATGCGATCAACTTTTAAAATATAGATTAATATGCCGTCTTGATGTCATATACATGTAAATGTATATTAATTCCTACTACATTTACATATACATGAATCTTCAACTGATATTTACTATGGTTTGTGTCAAAAATGTACGAAAAGTAATTATTACAGAATCAATCTGGATGTAGCGAATGCATTATGTAATTAACGTTAAACTCAGGATATAGTGAATTGAGTTCCAGACTCATTTATAGTAAAATCTTTGGATATAGTGTATTTATTAATAAACTCACTATATAATAAAATTTTTGACAATTTTTATTAGACCGAACCATTCGTTATATCAAGATTCGCTATGTATATGAATTTGCTGATTTGGACTTACTAATCCAATCCAACAGATATAAAAAATCCGATCAAGTAATTCATGTAGTGCTTCTTTATAGGAGCCTGGCTAAAAAGAGAATTACATGTATACACTAAAGTTGCAAATATTTATGCATTTGGAATGATTATGTATGCAATTGTAAACGTAACCGGCCATTTGATGAACGTGGTCATGTTGAAATTCTCGTTTTAAGAATCATTAAAGGAACACAAGCTAAGTTACCAAACAATAGTGCAAATTTCTTATGGAAAGACGTTGGGATCCTATTCCAGAAAATAGACTAACCAATAAGAGGCTTAACGAATTAATCTTATCTATTTTCAATGCTCTACATTTTGCTAAGCGTAGGGAGCTGATAGGTATCTCGAATTAAAAAGAACAAAAATTAAAAGAACTTGACGAGGAAATGAAATTGCAAGAAAGGGTTCTATAAATAAGAACAAAAAACAGCTTAAATACAGTTTATAGCAATCAAATCTTTACAACAAAATAAAATTTCATCTCGAAATACAGACCACTTATATTATTAATTATAAATTTACTTTAAATATTCAGATTTTACGAGTGTCACTTTGCATGTCCAAGGAAAGGTAAAATTAGTGCTCTGACTCGAATTTTAACTCAAGGCCAGATTATTAATTAATAACACGAGTTTTAAATTTAATCCAATACAAACGAGCTAGGGTTATACCTTTATTCAACCTGAGTAATCGTTTGACATCGATATGAAATGGTCAATGACTTAAATTCTACGAACATAAGCATCGGTATTTTTTTGTTTTCGTAATAACAATAAATTTCGCAAATTCCTTTACGTTAACGTTATTTTTCCTTAATTCCTTGACATGGAAATCCTTCATAAACCCGTCGATATAAACGCAGTTATAAACGTAAGTGCAACTCAAAGATAGAATCAAATACTCATAATTATAGTAAATGTACTCACTGTCAAGAGAATAGGTACTGCGATGAGTGTTTAGTTCACAATACTCATGATCGCTCTAAATGTCAAAAACAAATGAGTACTGCGAGTGTGTTTCAAATATCACACAGAATTTATTAGTTAACAGAGATAAAGATGCAATAATCTAATAAAAGAGTTAAACAAATTAATAAACGTAAATTATCGAATGGATTCTTTCTGAAAGATTTATCAGTATTGAATATCTTGCAAAAGAGTTATAAAGCAACCTGGTTGGATGGACCATTAAAAGAGAACGGGATTGTGAAGAAAATAAATTTGAATTAGCTGGAGAATGTCGATATTATATTGAAATCATTAGCAAATTACTCCAGAATTTATGTACGAGGTAAAAAAATGAAACTTTTTTAAAGTGAAAGTTTCTTTCTCTGATAAACTCAAATTTTTCAAACACAGATTCAGACTGTTCTTAAATGCAGCAGCATGAATATTCAATGGAATAATAAAAACCAAGCTTTATATGAATAGTCCGACTTATTAATTCCAAATTAACTTTACATCAAAAATTACATTATTTATACATGTACATGTATAACATTATATTTAAATATTATTAATTTAAAAAAATGAAAATCTAATTTGTAACTATATATCAGATTTTTATCAAAGTTTAATATTTATCTTTCAAGTTATTTTGTTTATATAAGTATATATAATAAAAAAATAAATAATAAAACATTTTATTATTAAAGATTTTATTTTTTAACAAATGAATTAGTAAGTTATTTTGTTTATATAAGTATATATAATAAAAAAATAAATAATAAAACATTTTATTATTAAAGATTTTATTTTT